TAAAAAAGTTCAAAGTAAATAAGTTTTAAAATAAATAATTTTTTATCAGTCATGAATATTTAAGTTACTCATTTGACTTACCAAGACTAAAGCTCCTTTAAAAGAATAAAATTTTTACACGAGAGTATGAAAAAAGGAAGTCATTTAACACATTCAGAGACAACTTTCACATTTCTTTAAGCTTAGCCAAGCAGCGGAGGAGGATTTTCACTTAGGGGTTGGAAGGGTAAAATATACATGTATACTTATTTTACCACTTGAACGACAGCTATCGTCATCATACAGAAGACTATACTGTTTCATTTCATAGTCTAAGTTAAGCAGGATATTATGATTGGGACAGTTTTTGTTCAACAGATTTTTTGGAGCATGTATGTTTTGAATAATCAAAACATTTGTTCCTGGTCTTTCACAACCATTTTATTTAGGTTGCAAGAACAAGTACTAAATGTATATATCACCCATCAATGTGATTTTATTGAAACTTCAGTATAGACTACAATAAGCTGAAGGTTATACAAGGATCAAATATTGAGAATGGATTTGAATAAGCAATCCAGGAAAAAATAATTTGTTTGTATAATTATCAAATTTTAACAACAATGCAGTTATGTGAACAATGCTTCAAGTATCAAGACATGGTAAAAGGCAATGAAGGGAAAAGGACTAAAGATTACCTTAACACTTTTTCCGATGCAATTCGGGCAGCAGCAATTAAGCTGTGGCTTGGTACCCACTTCACAACACGATTTGGATCCGCTCGCATTGGAGAATGGATTTTGATAAGCTTATAGAACATAAAGAAGAAATGTTACATTTAAACTTCTTGATGGGGGAAAGAAAATTTCGTGAAAGGACATGTAAAAACAAACACTTTCAAGTGCCCTTCACTTTCTCTAAATAAGTGGTGAAAGCATTATTAAAAGAGAAGTTTAGTCACTAGATGCTCTCCTTTAACATATCAGCCAAGACATGAGGAATGAGATAAAGGTATGAACTTACTCCAAGGCATTCCATCATTTGATAGTAAGCCCTACCGCGTAGAGGGGTATGACCTTGTCTAGACTCCGAGAAATAACGAGTCCTGAGACAACATGAAGGCTCCATTATTACTTAAACATTGCAATAACCAAAATAAGTTTCACTAGATTGGAGATCCTGAAAGTGGCTTTCAATTTACATACCATTCTTTATAACCTGGATCGACGGTGAAACCATACATATCAACAGTGTCACACATGGAGAGAGCAAATTCAAGAGCTTTCAGCCCAGTTCCTTTTGCAGCTGAACCAAAGGACGAACCCAGCATGAGATATACTGGATTGAGAATTGGAACTTCCTGCAGAAAACAAAGCCCAGAATTTGACAATTATGGTATAAAAAAGTGAGAGGCTAGGAGCAAATGTTCCATATAATTATTAAACCATCAGCAACCTACAGATACTGTCTTGCACCCTCACTGTCTGAAGGGGAAGAAAAGTTCTATGCAAATTAAACCAAAGGAAATATTTCGGCAATCTTTTTACATTAATTGAAAAAAAGTATTCACTCGACAGAATCAAACTTAATCTACACGACCAACAATAGAAAGTACATACCCTTATCATTTTGCTCATGACATCATGTATTGTAGTTTTGACGATCAAGACCTCCTTCCCCTTATCTGTAGAATAATTTTTTTTAGCATGCTTCCATATGAGAAAAGGGCCTCAAGATATGTGAATCGTACAAATACCATACAACTCAGCAACTTTATCGAGAGCTTTAGCGGAGCCCCTGTTTAGAAGGCGGAATGTACTTTTTGCACCCACATATTCAGTAAAGTTCTGCTTACACAGATAAGCGGTACTCAAGCATAAGAACAAGTAGGTTATTAGTTCGTCAGGAAAACAAATGAATAAAGGACACCAACCTCTATAGGCGCTCCATTCTCCCTGACAACTGCATCATACCTATCTATTTCATTGCCAAATTTGGTTTTCAGAAGATCTCCTGAGTTACCAATAACAGCACATCGACCAAACTGCCTTGGTATGTATGGTGGTCTTTGTGGGAGAACCAGAGAAAGTTTCTCCATGCAGAGAGTTCTGTTTTCACATCGGTTCCTGCAGTGAAAAAGATAATTTCAGATTATATAGGTTATGTAACAAAACTTCAGCTGCTATTGACAACTCAATATACTGATCAATGTAGTAGAAGGAAACACAACATTATTATAAATCATCAGATGTTCTTAACTTTAAAAATGGAAACAATAGTACTCAACAATTTATTACAGACAGAATGG